AAGTCACAAAACTGGAACACTCTCTGTGTGACTTCGTCGAAAATGAAGAAAGTGAATCATTTTTAGAAGTGAAATTGCAATCACTATCAGGAATAAAGTGATCCTTGGATGAATTAAAACAGCGGTACTTCAATCTACCAGCAGACGTTTCCATAGAGGAATCCTGTGAGATTATTGAAGGACTGGAGGACGATCTGGAGAAAATGGAGGTAAGTCTCAAATACCTCCTTTCAAAATTAAAATCAAAAGTTAATGCATTACCAGTACGTAAAAATACTGTTGAAAATATTAATGTTAAATTACCTGACATACCTTTACCTCAATTCTCGGGAAAATATGAAGAATTTCATGATTAAAATCATAAATTCTCCATATGCCAATTAATGCAATTTATCCTTAATTGCTGAAAATGAAGAAATTAACTGAAACACAAAAACTTTATTATTTAAAGGCTACTCTTAAAGGAGAAGAAAAAAATATTGAGAATTGCGAAGATACATATCAGTCACTGTTTCAAGCTTTAGAATTAAGATATAAAAATAAAAGAGCGATAGTGGATAGTCATATTCAAAATATTTTGAATCAAGAAAAAATTCAGCAGGAATCACCTAAGGAACTTCGCCGATTATTAGATAATACCAAACGCAATCTACGCGCCTTAAAAACGTTAGAGTACAATCTTGATAGGCTATCTAATGCAATTTTAATAAATATTCTCCTCCAGAAAATTGACAAGGAAACCCGGAAGCAATTTGAGCTTACCTTAAAATTTAAAGATGTTCCATTACTCGATGAATTTTTAAATTTTCTTGAAAACCGAACTTTGGTACTAGAAAGCATTCATAAAAATATGCCTATCAAATTTCCTCCTAAACCCAGTATCGGTGCAAAACCAAAAGGTTTTGTTATAAATTCAATTCCCTCCAACTCAAAAAAAAATGTATCCATTGTAAAGGAAACCATGCCCTCTTTAAATGTAGTGCATTCAAACAAATGAATGTTGGAAATAGGCTCATTATCGTCAAAAATAAAAAAATTATGTGTGAATTGTCTAAAAACTCATTCCAGAGAATGCAATTCAAACTTTTCGTGCAGCCACTGTTTCCGAAAACATCATTCCTTCTCCTTATGGACAATGACCCTCAGAGGTCCAACGGACACACCCTGCTTTCCTCCAAACCAGGGGAAAACAAACCCCTCCGAAGAATCTTCGGTTGACAATATACAGCAAGCAGGACATAGTCTTGCATCTATTTCCGGTGCGGGAAATCCTGTTTTACTGAGTACTGAGTGGTTATTTATGTGACAAATGTGTTTGGGCAGTGCTGCAGAATAAGAGCCTTACTGGACTGTGGTTCGCAAATGAGCCTCATCACCAAAGAATGCGCAGAATTTTTGGGTTTGAAAACTAAACCCATCCGAACGCACATTTCGGGAATAAGTGGTTCAGCTCATTCAATCAAAGCGAAGATTTTAGCCCATATTTCAAACGAAACAGAGACTTTTTCTCACAATTTAGAATTATGTATTATTCCAAAAATAACAGATGTAATTCCTTCGACACAAACTGGATATTTCTAATCTAACGATACCGCATGACATTAAATTAGCAGACCCTAACTTCTATACACCTGGTAAAATCAATATATTGATAGGAAATGAACTATTCTTTAACATCTTGAGGGAAGGTAGAGTTCAAGCGCTGAATGGAAACATAATATTGCAAAACACAGATTTGAATTCGATTATTTAATGACATTTTGGTGCTGTTTAATGACAGGGGTTCAACCTACCTATTAATTAATTTGATACCCTACTGTTAGGAAAAGGAATCAAGTCTCGATAATGCAATTAAGAAGTTTTTCGAATTAGAATCCTTTCCCGGGAGATGGTAAGGAAGTCGTAAAGAATGAAAAAGAGATATTTTGCAAAAGGCATTTTAATGAAACATACTCGCGTCATAAAACAGGTAGATACATAGTAAAATTACCTATGAAGGATGATGCTACTTCTATGCTGGGTTCATCTAAAGAAATTGCTATTAAGAGATTGAATACAATTTGGAATCGTCTTGATTCTAATAAAACCATGGCTAATTTGTATAAGGAATTTATGAACGACTATTTAAGCTTAAATCACATGGAACCTGTTATGCCCGTGGATAACTGTGACACTTGTTACTACATTCCCCATCATGCATTCCCCAGTCATATCGCCCGGAGAAAACTTCAACTCGATTAAGAGTTGTTTTCGATGCATCGTGTAAATCATCCAGTGGCTATTCGCTAAATTCAATTTTATTGAACGCAGGCAGAATTCAGGAAGATCTTTTTCCTATAGTTTCCAGGTTTAGAAAACATCACTTTGCCTTTAGTGCCGATATTAAGCAAATGTATCAACAAATACTCATACATCCATCGCAAAGAAATTTACAGAGAATTGTTTGGAAGCCAAGCCGCGAGGCCCCAGTTCAAGTGTATAGGTTACGTACGGTTACATACAGCACTACTAGCGCACCCTTCTTAGCCATGAGAACCTTAAAGGCATTGGCAGCTGATGAACAGGACTATTTTCCCAGGGCGGCTGCGGTCACATCTATGGATTTTTATATGGATGATATCCTGACAGGAGGAAATACTTTAGAAGAAGCAAAGGAGCTTCAGTCTGAATTAGTACAAATGCTTCGTCATGGAGGTATGGAGCTACATAAATGGGTGGCCAATCATCCTGAGCTGCTGCATGATATTTCAACACAGGAATATTCCTTTGAATCTCAAGAAAGTGTAGTGAAGACGCTAGGAATGCTCTGGAAACCGAAGGATGATCACTTGACTTTCAAAACAGCTGTGAACAATGAAGATAGCTTTACTAAACGTCAGGTGTTATCTGAAATAGCTAAGCTTTTTGATCCATGTATGAGAACTGAAACAATCATCAATTCCAGTTCTGACTTTGACAATGAATGAACATTTTATAGACTTTTTTTTAAAACTTTCCAATAATTTTCCTAAGCTAATCAGAATTCTCAGTTTTATTTTCAGGTTTATCTTAAATTGTAAATCCCAGGATAAGATGCAGGGATATTTAACTATAGATGAGATTAAAAAGGCTGAGGAGTTTCTTATACGACATGCCCAATTAACTGCCTTTAATCCGCAAATTACAGCTCTTCGACGAGGTAAACCTATTCCTGCACAAGGTAAGTTAAAAAGGTCTTGACCCTTTTCTAGATGAGAATTTTCCGCCTTGCCATTGGGCCTTAGGTAGAATTTTAGAGACAATCCCTGGTACAGATGGTAAGGTACGTGTAGCTAAAGTTAAAACTGCTTCAGGAATCTGCACTAGATCTATATCAAAGATCTGTTTATTGCCAATGTAATATTCAAATTTCTACTGACTTTATATATATTTGTGGAATCAGTTTATACATTACAAGAATTTAATAATGATTATATGTTTAAAGGATTTGTATGGCTTATTTGAAATGTATGTGTATTGTAACCACTTTTATGTCAACTTAGTATATATTGTTTGCATAATTACTATTTTCAATATTTAAGGTTCTTAAACTCCATAATTCAGTTTTAGATCTGTAGTAATCTGACAATTATTTATGTGATTATCAGTTTTGAAATATTGTGATTTGTCACTAATTAATTAATTGAAATTTTTGTATCAAATTTCAATGCCAGGCGGAATGTTTCGTCTCGGTTAGAATATTTATGTCTATTTGTACTGGCTTAATGCTTGCAGCGCCACGTAATGTTAGTGGCGAGAGCCCAGTACTAATCAGTAAGCGATAGGGATGCACTCGGTCCACACCGAGTCTCCGCTCCTCTGCCCGAACAAAGCGGCAGTCAATTGTTAATTGTTCCTTACTCACTCTTTGCCCATTTAAGCGGCATTGAAAGAAAATAAATGTTAACTTTCTCAACTTGACTTTCATGAATTAATATACAGTCCACAACTACCAACTGCTATCAACAGTACTTTAAGGTACCGCTGTGTGAATATAAACCAAAGAAAGAAGGATGACATTGTAGGCATGTTTTCGTGGGTAACTTTAGAGCCAATTATTACAGAATAATTCCTTTGTTATCAGTTACTCATTTATGTTACTGTCAGTAATTTATGTTATTTATATTAGTAACTGTCAGAATAACTAGTCATTCATTTATGTTAACTGTAATCCTTGCCGGTCACTGCCATTACCAACAGGCACAGTCTGTACAAAAATTTTTGACACCCCTAGAGAAAAGAAATTTACGGGCACTTCTTTATATTATCTTTGTATATCACATATAGTAAAACCTTCTTAGAAAAAGTATATATAATGCCAGATGATTTAGGCCTTCTCTATAGGAAGCTATCATTGATCTACCTTTAGAAATCTGATTTTCAATATCAATACTCTTGGAAATACTTGTCGATTTCAGAGGTTCCCCTTTATTTAAAATATTCAAACAGTACATACTTATTTAATATTAAACAAAGCAATCTGCTAAAATCAAAATATTGAAAAGATTTAACAACCTTTACTTTCTTTGTTTATGAATAAAATAGGAACTCTTTAACAAATCACCTAGTTTTGTGTAATGGTAAAATCAACTCTATCAACAGACAACAAACTATGCCATTGCTGCTTCATTTAATACCAAGTCACCCACATTCACCACACATAAACTCAGTCAAATATTTATGGTTCAAATTACACAAACAGGCATCACTGCTATTTCGAGATGTATGGAAAATTAAGTATCTTCTACTGAGATTACAGTACTAAAAAGCAACGATACTTATCACCGTTTCATGGATGCATGGTTTTCATTCTTTTAGGGTTACAGGAAATACAGTCTATTAGGTAGGTGGCAGTAATGTTATGGTTCTTAAATTTATAATAAACTTATGTCCTAGAAAATATATTAAGACAAAAAACAATAAATTAAAATAAATTAAATTACTTTTATGCAGTAATTTAATTTATATTTAAAACTACAAACCTGCATTTTTGAGGTCTCATCAGATGGCAAATGTCACCAAATCTACTCAATGCTGCTCGAAGACTGCGTGCAGAACCATCTTTTTTAATTTCTTTGAACAGTTCAACTAATAGCCGTCCTAAATGTGAATCTAAAAGAGTCTATAAGAACATCATTAACATAACTTATGTTTGTAAAGCATTTATTTTCTTGATTAACTAGCATAATAAAGTCTTAATCAGATAGTATGAGGGGAGATCAAAAGGAACACTCTCATAAACTTGAATAATATAAATAACATAACTTAAAAGTTAGAAAAGAAGGAAAACTTCAAACAAGACTACAAAGAAAGCACACTAAAATTTTAAAACACTAGCTTAAAATGAATGTAATTATTTTGCAGCTTAGCTCTTTCAAAGCTTGAAACATAAATACTGTAGTAAAATAATGCCCATTTTACAAAACAGGTGAACATTGCATTTAGGTGCTTGTGTAATACTGTATTTACAGACTAAGCTGCAAATTAAATGATGGTCTTTTTCCTTTGAAAATGACCAGTTTCCATATTTTTCAAATTTTAATCAAAAACTTCATTGATAAATATGAATTGATCAAAATACTATTCCATAACTGTGCCTTTAAATAAAAAAAAAACTCATTTATAACTACACTAAATATAAAAATATTTTTGAGATGTTAGTTTGTAAAATAATCTTTTTGTATTAAACATACAACAAATTAGCATTATTTAAATTGGAAACCTTTTTAAGTATTCACAGACCTTAAAAATAATTTTCCAATGATATTAAAAAATTAAATACAAAATAACATTCATATATAATTTAAAAGTAGGAATGATGTCAAAAATACATTTAAAAAAATGCATGCGAAATTTAGAACTGGAAAATGACATATTGGATGTTTAAGAGCCAATAATAATTTTCATGGTCTAGTTCAGTTGATAAGATGAACATGAAAGTGGGATATTGCACAAAAACGGAAATGATAATCTCAATAGCATATTATCATAGACTGAATCTATGATGGCAGCCAGGGCTGATGTCTAAACTTTTAAAAAAAACTATTTAATTTGATGTCAATGGTTCTGGTTTGCTAAATGCTGTGGAGGCCTAAAATATGACAGTTTCACTGCTTAAAAGCCTATTCTGTAGAATTTTAAAAGTGCCTTTATAAACTTCCTCCAGACCAGTGGTTCTCTGGTTAACCTTCAAGAAAATCTAAAGTAAGTGCTGTTAACCTTAGAGAAAATCTAATGTAAGTGCTTAGTGTTTCATTTCTAGACAACTGCCTTTCGTACTGTTTTTGACTATGCGTGGTTTCGATTTGTACCCTCCCTTTTTCTAATTTTATCAATTCTTCAAACTGTAAGCTCCAGATTACAGAGATCCTATAACATCTTACTATCCTGTCTTAGACAACTTTTACAAGTTCATTCTCCTTGGCCATAGGCACTCTGCCATTTTTTTAGTTTGTGGCACTTTATAGAAGCTCCGTTTTGGGATGAATTCCCCCCCAAACAATACAGTTCATCAAAACAGTTAAAATAATTAACCTATTAACAATATTTCAAAGGTTCACAGTTGTAATTTTTTTCCTAGTTTCATATTCTTAGAAAGGGTACATTGGATTTAGTTACCTGATTTACCAGTTCCACTTATAAGAAATATAGTTTGCTATTGCATTAATTTTGAGATCCATGCATTAATAAAGGCTTAAACATAGCACAACTAGTCACATTAATGACAGACAACACGAAAAACCTATCCTTGAAGCCTGCATTACTTATCCTGCTTTTCTTCAGTACGAAAAAATCCTGCTTACTTAGCAATTTGGAATCTGAAGCTTACTGAAATGCGCAAAAGCGGCAACCCTACTCCAAACTCTTCACTAACCATTGCCAAACAGCTGGCAATCCTAAAAGTCAAAGTCCACCCATCCGAGAAAACACGAGTAGAGTTGCCGTTTGGTATAGCGCATTAATAAGAGAGCTCTTGGAGCTGTTTATATAATATCGGCCTTGATAATAAGGAAGTGCCACAGATAATTGAGATACTTTGTTTTCACTGCTTTTTGCTAAGAATTCTCCAAACAACATGAAAAAATCAGCACAAGTTTCTTGCAAAACACGTTTATTCTGTCTTAATATCATTGATACATTTTCCCTTTTGTCACAGGCTTTTTACGGATATTTAGCCAATAAAATACATGCCAACTTTGTAAAACTATGCATCAGAAGATTTTTGAAACCATTTCGGAAAAAAGCATAAAATAAATTTTACAAATAAAGCTAACATACATCGAAGTATTTTGAAAAAATTACACACACAAAAAAAAAAGCACTTGGGAAAATTAGAACAAATTAAAGTAATTTGAACATAATTACAGTAGCTCTTTCATTTTTGCTAAAAAGTAATTAAAAAATTCTGCTTTGTGATATTTATAACTTTGTTTAAACTTCAGCATCTAGATATTTGAAAATCGCAAAAATGAAACATAGACATTTTAAAACATGACAAATGGAAATAAAAATAATTTAATGTTACTGTTCTAAAACAAAAAATTTTAATATGCTGCTGATATTTTTATGACATTGTAATGACATTTTTATATTTGTTAAAATAATCGTCATGATATTCACGAATCACCACATCAAAGTGTTGATTAATCACCAAACGTAGCAATGCAAGGTTAAGTTATTTGAATATGGCAAAGCCACAAGGGCTATCTGCCTAACAGAATGGATGACTTTATGGAGTATTTTCTAAAGGAAACTGGTCCTTATTCAACATTATACATGGGAAAAACTGCAGCAGCTCCCTCAACGTATAATATTATCTTTGTTGTTGAGAAGTTTAATTTCTCTACATTGGCAACAAGGAAAAAACTTTAAAAAAAAAAAGAGTTTGCATTGATGTTGTAACATCTTCTTTTATTATTGTGAATTAAATGTGCTTAATCCATTCTGGAATTATCATTTAAGTTATTAAATTAGCTCACATATTGACTCAGCATAGCATCCACAACAAAACCACGAAAACCAACCACGTAGCCAGCTCGTTCGCCTGGGATTGAATACAAACCAAGTTAAAGCTATCCTTTGTATTTTTTTTTTTTTTCATTGCTTGACATTGTGCTTTAGACTAAAATTGATGTTATTATTATTATTATTATTATTATTATTATTATTATTATTATTGTGTATAATAACAATTGATATATTTAAAAGTCCAATTAAAATAAAATGCTAATAAGGAATTTTGCTATCAAAAAAAGAGAGTGAGAAATATGGCTAAATGAGGATATACTTAAGACTATGAAATTCCTGTTAAGTTGAAAGGTTTATTCATAATATTGCAAGCTTTCATCAAATAAGCATGCAAACATTTAAAACTATTACATAGTTATTGTGAATGTCTATTATGGAAATACATATATAATTTTAAGTAAAAAAATTAAGGCAGCATAATGAAGGTGTACTTAATGTAAATTTGCACAATCACAAGTTCATCTGTTTAACCCTTTAATTCACTCTAATGAATTAACTCATGTATGCTGAATTAAATTATAACTATGCACATGAGTAACTACTCTAAAAAATTTTTAACTTTTCAAAATCTGCTCACACAGATATTACACTGCCCAAAGTAGAAAATGTAGAATTACGAAGATTCGGTCATATAAATATGCAAACTTCAGGGAACACATAGAACAAGTCATGCAGATAATGCAAGATGGAAGCAGGTCACGTGATTATAGTGTGAGATAAAAGGGAAGGAAAAGGAGGACAAACCATTATCCTTGCACTACTATTCTTTAATATTTTCATTATCGACCACCCAAACAACAGGGACTCAATCATCACCTGCTACGCAGACGGAACAAGTATCTCCGAAACTGCAGAGCATGTAGGTTGTTCAGAATCTGCCATTGTTAGTATTTACGCAAAATGGATAAATGATGGTGAAACCAGCAGTAGACACCAAGGTGTTAGATGTCTACGTGTCATCAAAGAAAAAGAACATCAAAGACTGACCTGCTAGGTAGACCAAAATCTGCACCAGACAATGGCTCAGCTGACAGCCCAATACAATGCAGGTTCAAGCAAAAGTGTTTTGAAACACAAAAAGATCTGCAGACACTGTTAAATATGGAACTGTGCAGAAGATGTCCACTTGTGTGCCCCTGTTGACCAAGAAGCATTGTCAACTAAGTCTAGAATGGGCCTAGGAACATCAAGAGTAGACCACGGATAAGTGGAAGGCAGTTGCCTGGTCAGATGAATAACGATTTCTCATTCATCACGCTGATATGCATGTCAAGGTACACCATCTTCCAGGCAAACAGTTGCTTCACTCCCCCATATGGCAGGTCATATCACAGGCTAGTGGTGATGGTATTCTGCTTGGAAAGTTCTCATCGGTAGCTCTAGAACCCTTAGTTGTGGTAGAACAGACCATGAAAGCTGCGAACTATCGGAACATAATTGTGGATTAGTTGCACCCTTACATGGCATCTGTTTTCCCAACTGGAAATGGAATCTGTTGGCAGGACAATGCCCTCACATCACAAGGCTAAGTTTGTGTTGGAGCGGTTCGAGGATATAAGGATGAATTCCAATGAATGTCCTGTCCACCTAACTTGCTGGATCTTAACCCAATACAGCACATTTTGGACATCATGGAGCAGCAGCTCCGAGCTCAAATGCCAGATCAGAATATCTCAATTTGCGTGACTGCTGCTTGGACATTTGGTGCAACCTGTCTCCAGTCATCTGCTAAGAACATGTGACATTCATGCCAAGGCGAGTTACAGCAGTTCTGCTGGCCAAAGGTCATGCAATGGGTTATTGAATAGTTAGAAATACTGTTTTAGCTCTTCAGGGAAAATCTGCGATCCATCAGGACAATTATACTCTATACTGCTCCTGCATGGGCAGCAACTGCACGTTAAAACCATCAAAATATTCAAAAATTTCAAAATAAAGTCCTAACAAGAATCACAAATGCTCTCTGGTTTGTCCGGAACCCAGTAATTCACAATCATTTAAACATCAGGCCCTAAATCATGTTTCCAATTTCTTTCAAAATTGTGAAAAGCATAAACACAGCATCATCAAACAAACTAGAAACTACTACTTCAT